GAGCCGATTTGAGCGCAAACTCGCGGTTACTGTGTATTTCGTGAAGCTGGATTGCTATTCATGAGTGACGCGGTAACTCAGAATTTTGCAGTTTATTTGGCTGGAATTTTTACGGTTCCTGAAGAGAAGAAGCTCGGAATTGTTCTTATCAACCTTCTCTGACCATTCTATTCCATCGAGAACTAAGAATGAGCGTAAAAGAGAAAAAGCAGGAAGAAGAGGAACTTGGGCCAGTTGCAATCGCGTAATAATTCATTACCAATTAGACAAAAGAATTGTGGAATTTAAACCCTTTTCAGTCATATTTTCTCAGCAGTCTAGTGAGAGCTCGTCAATAGAAGAATAACTATTGCATTTCAACTTTGAAAAAGGATTTTTCAGCGATTGTGGTGCTATACAGCCAGAAAGCAGCATTTTTGGACAACTTCTTAATTTGTCATCTTTTTTCTGTGAGTTCTTTTGCGTTCTAAAGCTTTCGATTGATTTTGCTGCATTCTTGTAGGGGTTCCGGTAAAAAATTCTGAGCTACACTAGACGTTCATGTTATGCGTCACGCTGAGAAAGCAAAGCTGAATTTCTTATCGCATATTTCAAATTCTTGGTTTCGTGAACGTCTTTTATCGTGCGCAGCTGTCTGAAGTGCCTACGAACGTATGATCGGACTTGAAATCTTCCTTCTATCGCAGATAACGTATTCTATAGTCCATTAACGCACTTATCGTTATAATAATGACCTTAAAGGCAGGTTTCACGATGGGCATCAACATCGATTAAGCCCTTGCAAAACGTGTATAGATAAGTGTCAGTTTCAAGCACACTTCAATGAAGCCGTCTATCGGGTTCAAAAGCGTCATCAAATGTATCATCGGTAGAAATTGTAGCGAAAAGCTGCGTCGGGCGCTCCAGTGATTCATATCTTCCTGATGTGCTTGAGAGCCACTGTTAGTATACAGGGGGAGGGGGGCAAAAAAAGACACTTTTCTCCCTTGGCTTTCAAGGCGCTAAGTTACACTTTATTAATTCTGATTGGACATTTCCACCACCATATTCAACAGCATATTGTATACTATCATGATACTCCGCCACAGCCTTCTGGACGAGCGCCATCGAGAGATTCTGCCACGCGACCGTGATTCGGTGCCTGAGTTCAGCGAGATCGTTGATTTCTCCGCCACTGTAGACCACCCTGTTGAGCTCCGCCCGAACCGGGTAATTGAAGGGGTTTAGGTCAGGTGACACACTTGGATATTCCGTCTTCTTCAGGTACTCAACGCCCTTCCATTCCAAGTAGGCGAGAGTTTTTCCAACGCCCTTCGATTCCGTGTGGAGGCACCCAATCCTGTAGCAGTAGAAGTTTCCAAGAAGGTACAGGCGATGACATGAAGGCAGGATATTCTCCACGAGTTGGTCGATGTAACCGTCAGCGTTCACTTCAGTCCACGAAGAAAATATCGGTCTTCACATTCCAGGAACTTCCGGTCCATACCACCAACCCGCGCCTTGGCGACTGCGGTGAAGATGATGTCCTGGACCGTAGCGACGTTGTCGGAGCTGCTCGATGTTGGAGGTCTTCCAGATCAAGAGTACTGGTCTCCAGGTAGCTATCCATGGGTGACTTACAAGAAGTTTCGCAGCTGTTTGGAGGTGACGTGAATTCCAAGCCTTCTCCAGTCAGGCTGCGACTGGAGATGACTTCATATTTTGGTGTACATGAAGGTGATGGGCGAGAGCCAGCTCCTGCTTATCGAGGAACATCTTGGGTATCTTCCGCCCTGGTACTCGTATCCACGTCCTCTGTCTGGGCTGCGAAAACTTTGCTGATATGTGACTCGGTCGAAGTGTCTTTTTTTTTGCCCCCCCCCCCTCCCCCTGTATAGTTACACTGATGTAATATGTATAGAGTAGTTGTTGCAAGAAGGAGAGAAGAGCATGTTTGCAGCAGTTCGCTGCGAGCAGAAGCTTACCATTCGTTTATGTTTAGGAGTAACACGTGTAAGGAAGTGCGGTTCATCGTTAGCTTTAGTTCCAAAGGAGGTCTCGTGATAGAATGCAACGGTTACCGTAATAAGGTACCCTGAACATTCTTCACAAATCATATAACGCTATGCCGCCAGGGACCACATCTGTTCAGTATCACTGCCTACAATTGATATCACCGCAACCAGTCAGGTCGCACTCAGTTGGTCCCGCCTTTCCACCACTAATTGTTTTCATCCTAAATCGATCGTTACTTGATCGCCATTGGTGGAGCAAGGCAGCCGCATCATGCGCTGAGCCGCCCCCGACTCGTTGCAATGTACTGCACTATAAGTCGGCTTTCGCAGGTGGCAAGTAGTGTATTGGCAGGTAGTGCCGCATACCCACGCGTACGGTCTGATTATCGAACCCCTGGACCGAATACTGCTCAAGGTAACCTACACACTTCTGACCGTGCCGCTTACAAATCTTTTGCTGGCAAGTCTGCCTTGAAGACAGTCACCACGCTCAAGCAAGTTGTGGGCGTCCCTCCTTGTACAAGGAGTATGATCCTCAATCTCTGAGATTATTCCACTTACCGGACATAAGTGGCCGTTCTGACACCGCCGCAGTTGTCCCGCTCCCACCACCCCCCCCCGCGGAAAAAAAACTCAAAGCCCATTTTCTGTCACGAGTTCAACGTTTACACTGGGTTTCCCTTTTTTATCGTTAGCATCAGATGAAGAAATGAATTGTGAGGCACTGGCAATTGGATATCGCATTGCTGACACAAAAAAAGCTGGTCCGGAGAGCTTGACCAGAGAGCTTGCCAGGTTTCTAATTAGGGTGTGTTTCACTTTTTGTGCTTTTTCTTCCCTGGAGAGTGGCGACTAAAGGATTAAACACCACTACCCACAATATTAGATTACAGGGTTTGTCACTGGAGGGCAGAAATCGAGGACGGTTATACAAAGGAGGCATGTTTGAAGTTATCTCGCTGCTTGTTCAAGGAGAACTATAGTATGACTTGTTTCACTGAAATAAAACAGTCCAAGGAGAAAACCCATGAAATAGGATTCATCTGACAACTATCCCGACCAAAATTTCTGCTGAAATCTTTATGTTCACTGTTTTAAATCACCTATTTTCGAAGACTTCTGCTGATTCGGCCATTTTATTTATTATTTCCTTATTTATTCATTCATTTAATCACCAACATAATCATGATCTGAGCTTTTTCCAGGTTTCCCTTTCATCTCTTCTCCTTCTTTTATTTCTTTGTTGACCACCACACACGAATTTTTATGTGTCATGTTTATTGTTCAATAAAATCGCCTACGACTTCCCTATCTGTTGCTGAGTCACTGGGCACGTCGCGGTACTTAACCTATTTGGCAAGTTCCTTGGGCATTTGCTAGATAATCCCCCTCACTTTTTTGGTTGTACTAGGGGAAACGGAACAGAGAGGGAGTATTGGAAAATCGTCCTCCTCACGAAATCTGGGCGTTGTTTCAGAACCACCCATACTGTGAAGCAGCTTTTGAACCATGAGCTTCAGAGGTTATCACTCGTGGCATTCACTGCAAAAGCAGCTTATCTATGCCATAACTCTCATAAGTGTGAGAAAGCTAGAATGAGACTCGTGAACAGGGTCAAGCATCACGTCGTGGGTTAGACTCAGACTTGTGGGGAAGGTCAAGTATCACGACGTGCGTTCCGCAACACACGGATAACCCTGCTCGTGACCTGCTCCAGAGAGGTTTCTGCTGTGAGCTCCGAAAATCGGAAATGACTCCGCAATAATAGGATGGACGGGAAATGGGCGTGTGATCACAATCGTGGCACTTTCCTCGTTGGTGTGCGTGTGGTCTTTATAGTAGATCAAACAGAAAGAGCGCAACAATGAAGGAACCCTAGCAGCTGTGAGTCTCCGCCCACCCGATTATCGCGGAGTTTCTAAGAATGCTGAGTCTAGGACGTGGATGTGGTATAGGTAGCGAGGTGAATCAGCTCACCTGCGTGATTGCGCTCCCAGCTGTCGCTTTTTTCAAATGTAAGCTGCTTTTTTCTCCATTTCATTCATCTCTGAATGCTTTCTACCCTTCGTATTTCCGTTATTCCAAACCTATCTTCGGGGGTTCGCATACACTGTATCTGGGATTTTATTTACTTATTTATTCATTCCTTTGCACCATAAGGTGTGCCTTACACAACAATAATATTACTCAGTATGTGCAGTACACGACCGAAAAACAAAAGGAGGGAGCACACAGCTCTTTATAGGCTTTTTCTTGCTAATGAGAAGCAGGAGGAGTTCGATATGAATCTCGCTCGAACCAACAAGGTCTCCCATCGCTCCTATTTTTTGGCTTAAAGTACACTCGTTTAGAAGGGCAAAAACAGCTGAAAACTTTCCATGCTGCTAGACATCGCAAAAGCGTTGTATAGGCCAAACAAGCATCCAAAAACCACTGCTCTGTTGCTAATGGAACTCAACCGTGTGGTACTACTCAAAAGAGCTTGGTCAGTAGCGCACGTGTCATGAGTGGTACTCGTATTATTCTGACTCCGATATGATTCAACCTACAGAATGAACTTAACTGCATATTTAATCGATTTTTTTATTCCCTTCATATGACGCATCAGCTGGCCGGAACCATTGCCGTTACCACGCTGCGATTAGCAAGTGATACGGAGCGTGAGAACTAGAAAGATGGGGCGCGGAGCCTTACGGGGACGTGCCGCCTTCTTGGTGTTGCCGCGGCGCAGATGTGACTCTTAGAAAACCCCGCTGTACCTTAAACTCTAGTGTGTTAATAGTATGGCACTAAGGTTTCCAGTTAGATGTGAATAAGTTTTTCCAAATAGAGCATCGAGTAGTAGTACACGCTCAAGAGCCTTCGGTGAAATGGTTGGTGGTGCTAAACTGGTAGCTATTGGCGCGAAATGGTACCGGCGCTAGAAATAAATGACGAATTTTGGATCAGGGCCGAATATAAGCCCTACAGGTGGAGCTTTAGCGGAAGGAACTTCTTAGGACTGTGGCGCAGTAACAGTTAAACAGCGCCAAATATTGTGATAATTACTATCAAATTGTCCCAGCACTCTTGTCCGACACACAGGGTACAGCATCGCTGTGCGAAACATATGGGGGGGGGCGTGCTTGACCGCTAGGAGGGGTCGTATTTGATCGTAGGGAGTCGTATGTGCCTTCAAGAGAAGTTCGCTGCGTGATAAAAAATTTTTTCGGTTGTGGAGTTTTCGCGCGATTTTTCCTGTTTCACGTGATTTATCCCCCCTCGGCTCCATGGGAAATTTCTGGGTGGAAAACTAGAAAAATGTGGGAAAACTGGTAGATAGGTGTTGGGGAAGGGGGGGGTCGTACTGACACGACACCACCATTTCACACATCACGATGCTGTACCCTGGCGACACATAGAATGCTGGAAAATTCTCTCCTTCGATAAGCACCTAGTCAACAGTATAATCACCGGCAGGGTTGTTCACCATTTCGGGGCAATGACTGGATGGCTGCGCCGATGGAGTGATGGAAGGTACCCATCGAAGAACTGAAAGGGTTCATTTGTGAAGTAGTTAGAGTTGTTTAGTTTTTCCTGCCAGATGTTAGTCAGAGCGAGCAGATGATAGTCCTACGGAAAAATGTTAGCGCTGAATGTGCCACTTGGTTCCTATATGGTATGACTAGATTGTGGCAATAGTATATGCAGTGTGTGGTCGAGCAAGATCCTATAAAAGGCAATATTGGGTCGCTTTAGACGCTCATTCCGCAGTTTCTGGAGGCAGCTTTCACAGATGTCTCCTGTATGTATCAGCATTGAGTGCCTGCTTGCAAGGCCTTCCCAATGTAAATTGCGTTGTCAATTCCAGAAAACAGGAGCGTAATCGTCAGAGTAGGGACCTCTGGCTTTGGTTACACTGGTGAGTCTAGGAGCGCAGCAGCCACTAAGCGTGTTGCGTGTTGTTTTCGTAGTGAACCCAGCCTCATCTTCAGTGATGATCCAGTTGAGTCCTACCCGTACGGTCACTACAATAAGGAAAGAGCAACCGGAAATCTTGAGGATAAGGGACACCGCATGCACTGGACGACTATGCCCGTTGCACCCTTGACTTCTGCGGTCAGCCAAGGGTGCAGATTGGGCATAGTCGTCCAGTGCATGCGGTGTCTGTTTGCCACTCAGAAGAGGAGCGGTGGTCTTTGGCCGTCGTAAGGTTTGCTTCAGAACTCCCGTAGGGGCACTCGGATGCAGCCGCACGTCATGGAGCAGGAGACTTTTATGGAGGTTGCCAGAGTGAAGTCGACTCCTTCAGCTTTTACCTCCTTAGACGAGGAAGCTGAGCCACGGCCTCCCAATCGGGTTAGTAACAGTTCTTTGCCTCAATGCACAGCTAACATTTTTGCCGTCCCTCTGACGTTAGTTCGCAGATAATACCCTGAACCGTAATTTATGGTAAGGGGTTGCCTTGCTTGGATTCCCAGCCCGTTGACCTGCAGCGCCACTTCCGTTTTCAGAACTTCTATTTGAACCGCACCCCCCCCCCCCCCCCGGTGAGTGGTTTGGCGACAGTCCGACACGGAACAGAAAAGTGGATTCGAACAAAAGTCGGCCATAAATCATGTTAAATTATTTTATAAATCACGCTAATATTTTTGGTAAAGATCGTGATGACCGAAACCATTGAGATGTCTCTATTTCATTTTCAGAGTAAAATACCAATAATTTGCGTCGCAACTTCTTGTGGATGGGGTTCTGAGAACCGCGAAGTTGACACGATCAAACTTG